TTTTGGCGGGTCCGGGCTGGGGATTCGAACCCACCACCTTAGGTGTACGTGGCTGGCGCCTTAGCCGGTTGAGCTATAGGCGCCGAGCCGAGTTTACATATCTTCATGGCTGAAGATAGCCTTGAAAACCAGCAAAAATGGCAACAAAATTATTTTATGCACGCCATTGGTATTCAGAGAAATGGTCGGCTTCTTGTTGCTCATTCAGGCTCATGAGGTACAGGGAAACTTCCTATATATTTTTTGTCTGTAGCAGCCATTGTTTTTAATTCTGAAATGACTTTTTCTCCAGTGTTTTGATCAAAAGCCAGCAAAAATGAGGCAGTTTTGTTAGATGCAGTCAGTGATAGACCTCACGGCCCCAGCTCCCACTGATTCACTCACTACACCTTCTAGATCCCGCACAGGGACACCCATAAACACGCTGAACACGGGCAGCCTGCGAGTTTCACAGGCGTCCCTGGGTTGTATTTGCACATAGGGTAGAAAGGGGTTGCTTCCGGAGGTTAGACGTGCCTGTTGGAGCCTACCCCTGAGCCTTGCTGAGGACAAGTCCCACTAACTATTTGGCTGATCTGCCGCCTGGCACAGATGTCCCTGCTTACTGGAAAGTGCTGCGTCCCGCTCCCGCCCTCACCCTCACCCATCGCCACCCAGTAGCCTCAAAGGCTGCAACTGGTAAGGAGCAGCCATTATAAGCTCTCAGGAACCCCTTGAAAAGATCTAAAGGAAAAGCAGCTTCTCAATTACCTCCAGTCAGCTCTGGCTTCCGAGGGGGCCACTCTCGTCTTCCTCAGCTCTTCTATAAAGTCGCCACGCCTCCGTGCTGCTGTGCGGAGGGTCTCTGTCCGCCTCTACGCCGCTAAGGGAGGCGATATTAGGAAAGCGCCCACCCAGCGAGTGGAACTCCAAAATTCTGGGAACTGGAAGAGGCCTTGGAACACCACTCACTCAGGATTTCCCTCCATCTCCCCGAAACCTTACCCTGCCTCGTTAAGCTCCGGTGGACGACTGTGAACGGAGCCCCAACCGGAAAAGGGAGAACCCGTTTCCGGTGGCTTCGTGACGGCCACGCCCACCTACTTCCTTTCCTCTGGCTGCGAAGTGGGAGACTAGCCGAGTTAAGAACTGTCTTCGCCGCACAATTGTAAGAGCGACTTTACCTAACAAATGCAATCTGTGTAACCTGGTTTCTTGTACCCTCAATGAATCCCCCAAATAAAAAAAATAAATAAATAACTGTCTCGCAGGTCCTTTCCGTCTGGAGTAAGCGGTCTCCTGCTCCGGTTAGGTCTTGCATACAAGAAAGAGTTAACGCCACCAAGTCCCCAGGCCTATTGGAAGCCTAGAAAAGCCCTGCAAATGGCTGGTCGCCTGATGCCAAGGTTTATTCCTGATTTGCTAGATGTTGCAGCATGCAAATTGTTCCTGCTGGCTTCCAGACGGCTGGTGGCCCTTTCTACCTGAGGCTCGCCCTGTAAGCATTGCTGCATCAAAAGTCTAGGGGCTACGGAAGAGGTAGGCTTACAAGGTCAGGACCTTTTACAAGGTTAGTACTCTTTTGCAGGCGCTGTGTTCTCAACCTTCCTGAGTCCCGCCGGAGAGAGCTTGAGCTGTTAGTCACTGGACTTGTCAGAAGCCTTCTTAAGTAAGTGGCAGTTTGGTCCTGGTCAGGCCTCTCACTGGGTCAGGAACAACAGTCTCTTATGTCTTTTTAACCATTTTTCTGGTTCTCTGGCATGTGCTTCCCAACTGTTACCTTGTTTTATTCTTGGTAGGCAGATTTTTAACCTTTTGAGGTAGGTTTCATTTGTATTTCTCTTTGACATATAAAGAAATTGATATATAAATGTACACAGTTATGATTTAATAAAAAAAAGTAAAAACATTTGAGCTAAAGAAGTTATAAAAGGGCAGCACCTGTGGCTCAGTGGGTGGAGTGCGGCCCCATATACCGAGGGCGGCGAGTTCGAACCTGGCCCCAGCCAAATTGCAACAACAATAAAAGAAGTAGCTGGGCATTGCGGTGGGTACCTGTAGTCCCAGCTACTAGGGAGGCTAATGCAAGAGAATCGCCTAAGTTCAAGAGCTGGAAGTTGCTGTGAGTTGTGATGCCACATCACTCTACCAAAGGTGACAAAGTGAAACTCTGTCTTTGGAAAAAAAAATAAAGAAGATATAAAAGAAATTTTAACTGAACTTCACTGTCTGGACTAAAGCTGAGGCTCTGGAAAACACAGTTGCCATTTAACCCCACATGAGGGAATTCAGCTGCCAGGGAGACAGCATGCCCACTTCCATTAGTATAAAAAAAAACTCAATAGAACCCTCAGTACCTTCTTACTGAAGCCTTAAGCCTGTCTCTCCTTTGTTAGGTTTGAGTTATTCATCACTGAAAACTCCTGCTTGTATGTGTAAATAAACCTGTTTTTCCTCCTGTTTTTTTTTTTTTTTTTAAAGAAATAGTAGGATGTGATTTCACCTACCACTTCATGTTCAAGGTTGCATAGATTACCACTGACAGGTTTTAAATAGGAATCTTGGTCTCCTGTTTTCTTATCCTGTGCTTTTTCTACACCATTATGCTTCCTTGGAGGACAGGAATTTTGCTTCTATCTGGCATCTTCTACAGTGCTTAGAATAGTCCTCTGTGTGAGGTGGGTAGTCCTTAAGTATTTACTGAATTATCTAAGAACCTGAATATCTCAGGTTAGGAATACTGTCCAGAATCTCAGCATTTACTGTGTTATGCCATTTGGACAAAAATTGTTAATGTGAAGCAGAGGAGAAACTGTGTAGCTCAGCTGTGCAGTGAGGATGAAACTGACGTCTTTTGGGAAGTCAGTGTGGGAAACCACTCAGATAAGCAGAATAGATATCTGCATGCCCAGGAGGAAAATAAAGAGCACCTGTTTGGTTTTTTACATATGACAATGCAGATGGGACTCTTAAGTTTAAGTCACTCATTATTTGAAAAGAAAAACTGCCTGAAAGTGTGCAACAGGACACAGTGAATTGTCTGTGATATATAAATTTATTTATTTTTTTAAAATTTAATCATTTTTATTTCAAATGTATCTTTTTCAAATGTATTTTAAAAATCATAAATGGGGTTTTATAATCCAAAGTTGAAACTTTTACTCTTCCTGGCTTCAGGATTTCACAAACAATTCTAGAACATGCTTTCCAAATCCAGCCTTCTTTGCTTTCAGACTTCTGAAAAATCTGGTATTTGAACTACTCCATTCTTTTTTTTTTTTTTTTTTGAGACAGAGCCTCAAGCTGTCCCCCTGGGTAGAGTGCCGTGGCATCACAGCAACCTCCAACTCCTGGGCTCAAGCGAGTCTCCTGCCTCTGCTTCCCAAGTAGCTGGGACCACAGGTGCCCGCCACAACGCCTGGCTATTTTTTGGTTGCAGCCATCATTGTTGTTTGGTGGGCCAGGGCTGGATTCGAACCTGCCATCTTAGGTGTATGTGGCTGGTGCCTTAACCACTTGAGCCACAGGCGCTGAGCCAACTACTCCATTCTTAATGTGTAATTTTAGATCTATCATATGCTTGCTGATAAGAGTTTTCTGAAAACAATGTACAAAATATAAAGAATGGTTTCTACCCAAGAATCAGCAGTGAGGGAAGAAATATTAAACACATACCAAGAAATCATTTATTCATTAAAAAAAAAAAAACAGAACCAGTGCTGTTCTCTGTCATAAAAGAGAACATGTAAAATTCTTTTTATAGACTTTGGTAATATTTTATTCCCTACGCAGGCCTCAGTCCTACTTAATGATCTTTTATGCAAAGTAACCATCAGGATTCACTGAGTAAAAATCCCAGGCATTAACATGGCCCTTAATGTGCTATTCCACAGAGGAACAGGTGACTTTGAGGAGAAGAGCTGCCATGGTAACTTCCCTCAAATGCTTATTTTAAATAAAAATAGCTAATGAAAATATTTGTTAAAGCAACTTTGGGAATTACATACCATGCTTCCCACCAAACAAAAAAGGAAATGAAAGCATCCTTTCCTTTTATAGGAAAATTTCCACCTTTACTTTTAAAATTACATCTTATTCAGTTTTGTGGGTTCTTTTTTTTTACTAATTCTATATTTAAATTTATAAAATTCTGCATTTCAATGTAGTAAGAGTTCTTTTTCAAATGATCTTTACAACCCAGAACACTGACACCAGAACGACATTCTCAAGTCACATTATTTGACTATAATGAAGTAAAATATGAAAATGGATACCTGAACACAAATATTCCCTCTGCTCTGAAGGTGAGAGCAAACTTTTAACATATGAGTAACACAGAACTCCATTCCTCAGGAGCCCCCTCAAACTCAGAATGCTTCCATTTAACAAATCAATATATTAGTCTTAAAAATTAAAGTTTGGTCTCTAAGAAGGCCTGAACAAAATTTATTTCCATCCCCCAACAACAACCAGAACAGCCTTTCTTCTCCACATAAAAACAGGGAAGTAGTTGGGGCTGAAGAGTTTAAATATGAAATGTCAGCTTGTAAACAATGCTATTTGCACAAGTTTATAGATCTTCATATTTCCTTCTCCAATACTTCCCCCATTTATAAGTTCGTTTCCATACATACACACATGCACACACACACTCACTCTCAAGTAAGACACTTTTTTGTATTTGTGAATAAATTATGATTATGAACTAGGTATATATGTGTTTCATAGGTGCTTTGTAAACATCAGAGTCACTTGGGTCCTTTTCTCCAAAGCCTAAAATCAAATTATACAACCAAGGATCCACTACTTTCTCACATGCTGTTCACAGGCTGCATACTGACGAAGGGCAGAGAAAAAGTCCTCATAACTGATGTTTAGGTGGGAAGGCAAAGAGATAATCTCAGTCAATCTGATGTGCCAGGGAAGATAGCCTAATGTGCTGTCCACAGGACCAAACTTCAATACTAAATTGGGATCAGGAAACCATGTGAACTAAGTAAATTGTCTAACATAGCCACATCCAAATCTCTGGGTCTCTTTTGCTGCTGGGCTACTAATTGGCAAAAGTCCTGAGCATCTCTCACAATATCTGCTTTTCCATCTTCTGGAGACAGCACCTAGACTAAGGTGACCAGACTGGGGGTGGGGGGTGTGCTTAATTAAAAATTTGGTCTATATGGAGCAACAAAAATTTTCATAGAACACAAAAATAGTATTGTAATATATATATATATTTTAATTTCAACATAAGTACAATTTACAAATATAATACATTAAAAAAATTATGTATAGGGTGGCACCTGTGGTTCAAAGGAGTAGGGCGCCAGCCCCATATGCTGAAGGTGGCAGGTTCAAACCAAGCCCTGGCCAAAAAAAAAAAATAATAATAATACGTATAGTATCATTCTATTCTTTGGCATATTTCTCCTTTGAGTGAATTTTTTTTTAGTAGATTTCTGTCATTGTTTAAAAGATCATGAAATTTTTCACAAGAATTTGTTAAATTATATTTCACACATAAAATGGCTTTCAAAGTCTCAACACTTAAATGTGATTCTTCTTCTGATGTCCACACTTTATTTACAGTAGAAAAAACACATTCAGTCGCAGCATTAGTTCCCCGGTAAGGACAGCGCGTATCCCATAATTTTTAGTGCATTATTGTATGGAACATGGTTTCTTTCAAAATGATGAAATATTTCTAACCATTTGTTCTCTATTGTGATTTTTGCTGATGCCCAAG